AGTATCTGTGGGGATGGATGCCTGAGTTGCTGGATTGGGTGGGAGGGGCCAAAAGAGGAGGTGGGGAATGCTGCTAGGGGGGCGTCTTGATATAAACAAATTTTTAAAAATTTTAAAAATTTAAAAAAAAAAGGGAGGGAAGGTAAAATAACTTTCCCTGACCGGGAATCGAACCCGGGCCGCGGCGGTGAGAGCGCCGAATCCTAACCACTAGACCACCAGGGACGTCGTGCACAACTCATCACACGTTGCTGGATCGCGGGCAGGACCAATTATCGCATTTCTCCGATTTTTTCCTGGTTTTGGGGGTTTTTTTCCCCCCCTGTCCTCACCACACCCTCCACCTCACCCCCTCCTCGGCGCAGCTCCAGCAGAAGGGTTGATCCTCCACCCTCCATCCCTCCTGGCTTCCTCCCGACACCCCCAAATATTCGTTAGCCAAGAGCTCAGCCCGAGGCTGTTGGTCAATAAGAGTCTAAAGCCAACGCTGCCTGGGGAAGGATTTATTTCTCTTGGGTTTAGACGTCTACAAAAGATGTGTCTCCATGCCATCGAGTCATTCCGGACCCCCTCTGTAATCAGAAGAAAGAAGAAAATCCTCCTCCACGCACTCATCGAGCCACTTCTAGATGAGACAAATCACAATTTTCCACCTTTCTCCAGGACTGGAGCCTGGACGGCTGCGTACGGAGAGCTGAGTCCTTCCAACGCCCAACGGTGCGGACATCCCGCGGCGCCGAGCACCCTTCCAAGACCAGCCCACGCCAGGGATGTTGGTACTTCTGGTGATTTCAAACATCCTTCCACTCAATCAGCTCTTCCCCATCCTGCCCTTGGGCTGGATGATCACCATCGTGTCAGAAACTGCGTAAAACTCGACGCCATCGCAAAATCCTCCGGGCTTTTGCGTCGTCATCCACAGCATCTCCGCTCAGCTGGGCGAGCTGGAAAAAAGGGGTGCAGCAAAGAGCAGGGGCGCGCGATCGGCTGGAGAAGGGTGGAGGGAGAGAAACTGGGAACCAGTTTGGAGCGGTTTTGGCTTAGGTCCATCCTTGTCCTCCCACGGCGAGGTTTTTGGAAGGGGTTGATGGGCACGGATGCACCAGGGCAGCGTTGCCGGCAAAGGGGGAGCAGAGCAACCCCCCTCCCACGCAAGCTCTGAACCAACCGATGCTTCTTGTTGACATAAACGGTGGAGAAAAGCAAATTTTCCGTCTGAGACCGCGCATTTGTGGCTCCCAAAAGCCATCTCTGGGGCGATGAGCCCCCACGGTCTCCCCAGTCCCCAGCGAGTGATGCTCGACCCGTCCCACGGAGGGGTCAGGGGGAGAGCATGAACTGGCAGCCCCTCCCCAAGCAGAGCAGGGGGAGGATTTGCTCCCCCGCGAAGGATGCCGGGGGGTAGGTGAAGATGGGCGCCTCGTTCTTGGAGTCGAAGAACGCCACTCGCCCCTCCTCGTAGTCCAGGTAGATCCCGATCACTTTGGGAGCGACCAGCAAGGAGATGGGGATGGTGGGAGAGGTCAGAGCTTGGTACTGGCTCCCACACTGTCCCACCGCCCAGATCCCCGCCTTGGGGTTGACGCTGATGCGTCCCTTCCTCTTCACCGACTCTTTGGCCACCCCGACAGCCCAGGCTTCCCCGTCGCCCACCTCCACCTCCCAGTAGTGCCTCCCCGCCGTGAAACCCTGGTGGCCAAGGACGCAGCGAGACGAGTCGAAGCGCTTGGGGTTGTCGGGGACGGGTTGCCGGGTGTCGTCCCATCTCACGCCCTTGAGATCCTCGGAGAGGACGAGGCGGGGATGCGCCGTCTCGGGATCCAGGGTCAGACTTACTGGGGATGGAGAGAAGATGAGCATCACTTGGGTTGCCCAGGGAAGCTGTGGGTGGATGTCCCATCCCTGGCTGGATGAGGCTTTGAGCAACCTGGGCTAGTGGGAGGTGTCCCCTCCTGTGACATCCTAGAAGATCTTTGGAAGGTCCCATCCAACCCAACCATTCTGTGGTTCCACGATCACGGGTACAACTCGCTCCCCAAGGTCATGTTTTCCCCCCTCTTCCCTCAGCTTGACCTTGGGAAGCTCCAGCTCCCCGTCCCTGTTTGCTGGGGTGGGTTTATGCCCACCAGCAAGACTGGAAGAGTAAAAAAGACCGCTCCATGGAAAGAACTTGATTTAGAGCAAAAGAAAGGCTTTGAAATGCGGATATTTTTCACTGGGAGTCTCCAGGCCATTGAAAAGAGGAAAGAAATCCTCGGCCATCCCATGACTTTCCTTTTTTCCAAGTTCCCATGTGGAAATATTTGCGATTTTTCACCTTTGGTCTCATTCAGAGAGGTGATTTCCAAAGACTTCAAACCCTCTCCTCCCCGCTTTCTCCCTACCTTGAAATTTCATCAGCATCTCCTTCAGGGCGATATTTTTCGGAGGAAGACCGGTGGGTTCATCTCCCAACTCAGGTGATGTCTCTGCTGGCTTCAGGGCACGATCCTTCTCAAGCCTGGAAAGAAGGGAGACCTTCCCAATAACACTTCCTACCGTCCCAATAACGCTTCGTTCACCCGGAATTGTCGTTATGTGCCGACCGATTCCCAGCTGGGATGTCTTATAAAGAAATAATTAACAGCAGGACTGGTGGGAGGGCTTGACCCTACTTTTGGCTTCCCAATAACCCACCTTCTCCATCCATGCCCCAAGAGGTCTGTCATGGGGGATGGAAGCTCCACCTGGATGGTGTTTAAACCTCCGCACATTTTTAGCTGCTGGGTTGATATTTTTGAGGGGCTCACAAGGGCAGGGAGCAAACGCTCAACCCTCCAGGAAGAGGTGGGTTATGGATGGACTCTAAAGAAGAAGCTGCAGCAGAGCTGAAGGTCCCATCATCCCATCTGATACCTTCCCCTGGTCTTCAGCATCCTACTCGTTGTTTCCTACACCGTCCCTATCATACAGGGATCACAGCCACCCGGGGTCCGAGAGTCCGTCAGGGTCACCGGCACCGTAGAGAAAACCAACGTGAACATCGAGAATATGTGAAAGGAGCCACGAACCTGCTCAAGATGTTTCTGCTGTCCTACGAGCCAAAGAGAAGAGAAGGAGCGTTAGGTCAGAGCAAAGTCAACCCCTTCGTGGACAACACGTGGCTACGGCAGGGTTGTGGGGTGACCTCGGCCAACTCAAGGCATCGCCCTGTTTAAATTCTGGGTCTAAAATATGCTTTGGCATATTTGAGTGTTTAAAACCCGGAGATAACCAGAGGTGGGCTCAGGTGATGGGTTTGCATGACCACCCAAAGGGTGGTTCCTTCTCCACTGCGTACGAAGGGACTCGGAGAATCATTTTGGATGTAGACGTGTCCAACCAGGTGGATGAACCCCAGACCCGTGTAAATAGACCGGGATTCAAACAGACCAGGGTTGAGTTAAAATATCCAGGTTGGGCCATGTTTGTGATCATTTCAGAATATAAATTAAAAAAAAAAATAAAGTTTGAAAGGTACGTTTTAAAAGGTGTATTTAGAATGAATTTGACTCCTGGACCGGTGACGCCGGTGGTGTCCAAGGCCAAGGGTCTTCAGAAGGTCCCAAGCTCTCACCTGGAGGAACTCACACGCCGGCTGCTGGCACTTCTCCTCCAGCTCACGGATCTGCTCGCCGACGGATGAGATCTCCTCCGAGAGCTTGCCGATGCTCTCCTCCTGCCTCCTGGTGATCTCCTGGTCCAGCTTCACCAGTCGGTCCAAGAGGAGCCGTTCCTGTCCCTCCAAGAACTGTTGGAGCTCCTTGATCCTGGACACCACCTTCTGCCGCTCCCTTTCCACTTGTTCCTGCAACGAGAACCGGCGCACGCGTGGGAGAGGCAGGGCCGGGGACAGAAACCGTCGGGGACAATTGCAACCGACACAATTTCATGTGACGGCTTATAACACACTCATAAATTCCAGCAGAGCGAAGGAATAATTCAGATTTTTTTTTTTTTTTTTTTTTGCCATTTATAGGCTGAAATTGCTGGCAAGGGTCTTTTCCCGGGAGCCGTAATTTTGCACCCGGCATGTTCCAGACCTTTGAACAGCAAGGGAAAATGAAGAATAAAATAAAAGAGGTCAGGGAAAGGGAAAACAAGGAAGAAGCAATGGGGTGATTCCCATTTTCTCGATGTACTGTGAGCAAACCGAGGAAGAAGAAAATCAGGAGCAACCTGGTAAAATCCAGGACGTGCTCCCAGCCTGCCGCGGCGTACGAGGAGCGGGAGACGCGGGGAAAATGGGATTGGTTTTTCATCCACCCTTGGGACCCACTGCCCAGACCTCACCCCGATGGAGAGGACATTCCCACCCTGGGGAATGGGATTTTTGGCCACAGCGTGTCTTGCATCTCCGCATCCATCACCGGTGAGACAACCCAAAGGCAGGACGGAGAGAAAGCCGTCGCCACCCAGGGATGGACGCTTACCAGGAACTCCAGGCTTTTCCCTTCCTCTGCCGTCTTCAACCCCAAGAGCTTTTCTCTCCTGTCCTTCAGGATCTTCACGTGAGCCTGGAATTTCTCCTGCACGGAGAAGAAACATCTCATGGGTCCGTTTTCTTCCTCTCGCTGGTCCGTCCCTCCACATTCCTCCCACCTATTCCAGGGTTATCTCCTGCAAACTCAGATTTATTTTTTTTTTTCCCTGTTTAATAACACAACAATCTAGCTCCAGGAAATTTTTAACTTCTGGGAGAGCCAGAGAGAGTCGCTTTCTCCACCGACCTGCGTGAAATTCGCATCGCCGACCCCGCTGGGAGCAGGAGGTGGTGTTAGACGATCCCTTTCATCGAATCATC